ATATATATATATATATATATATATATATAGAGAGAGAGAGAGAGAGAGAGAGAGAGAGAGATTGCCCTGTATAGTATATACACTGACTTCTCTATGGATCTATCTTTTTGATATTTTATCTTAAAAAGACCTAAATGAATTCTCCTTTCCACATACGTATTTTATTTATATATATATATATATATATATATATAAGGCTCAAACACTAATATCCCATGGTTATAATTTATTACATTGGAATCGTAAACACGATCCAAATCATCAACCCTACAAATTAAAAAAGAAATCGGAAAATATAACTCTGGGTATAAAAAACAAAATTTCAGTGAGAGTGTATGTGTGGGAGTGAGAAACGAGAAACAAGGGTGAGAGAGGAAAATGTATGAAAGCTCTAGAGAGAGGGTGTAACGGAAGAAAGAAGAACAGGAAAGGCCTAAAGGTGAAGGTGGGGATTAAAATTTTATATCTATAAATAAAAATTCATCACTGATGTTAAATATAAGTATCCATTTTGTTTTCCATTTTCTCACCATGGTATTCTCAGGATCCTTCTACAGAACCATATCTCTGTTGCTTCAAATCTCTTCTTCATTTTTCAGGAGATTATCCAGCATTATATATTATTGATATTATCTAACATTTCAGTAAACTTTTCTTTGTTTCTTTTGCCGTCAGTGTCCAGGATTCACTGCCATATAGGACGACAACATATTACATAACAGCTCAGTACTCTTTTCTTTGTTTTTATTGCGACAAGTCTCTTCTTCATCTGTGAGGAGATTGTCCAGCATTCACTGCCATATAGGAGGACTGATATTACATAACAGTTCAGTATTCTTTCCGTTGATTCTAATGACATTTTTCTGTTTCTTAATACTTCTGGAAGGTACCGAAGTTTTTGTGAAGCCAGATATTTCGATCTCCTCCAAGATTATCTTCAGGGGTGAAATTCGAAGACAAATATAATGTAACTGTGATCGCTGTGATAATGATTTTTGTAAACACGCGTGAAGTCTCCCTGTTATAATTATTTAAAAATTTAAAAATTTATCCGTTATAGCTATGGTGTTTTATTTTTTTGCACGCGTCCCAATATAAAGGAACTAACCAAAGATGGTAATTGGTTTAATAAAAACTATGGCGCCTTCCTTGATGAATTTCAATTTAACATCAAGAAGCAAATTAGAGAAATAGAAAGGATTATTATAAAAATAGACATAATATATCTACATTATTTAATGAAGATATGCTTCCTAAATACGCACGGACGCACACACAGACACACAAAAACACACATACACACAGACACACACACACACTCATATATGTATTTACATATATATATATATATATATATATATATATAAAATGCATGTTTCATTAAATAATATAGACAAGTTTTTGTCTATTTATTTTAAGTAAGTTCCTTTCATATTGTCTGATAAGCTTAATAACATCATTGAAAGACGAAAGGAAATCACCATATATTGATATATATATATATATATATATATATATATATATATATACACATACATACACACACACACACACACACACATAACTGGTCTTCCTTACACTGTGTGTCTTTACACTTTGTGTGGGGAAACTAAATCGAAAAGCCTGTTCAGGTTGGAGTGAAAGAAAAAAACCTGTGCAAGGAAAATGTCTCATATATATATATATGTGTGTGTGTGTGTGTGGTGTCCCAAAAATCGCGATGGGTTTTGCTATTTAAAATGTTCAGGGAATTGATTTTTATTTTTATATTTAGAAAGTTGAAGGTCTGGAATTTTATTATGAATAAATTCACAGCGCAACAACAGACGAAGATAGTACAATTTTATTCTTAAAATCAACACTCAACCATGTACCGAAGTGTTTTAGCATAGGACTGAAAATAGGACACAGAAATAAAATAAAAGTGGTATGGAAATAGCGAAAGATGCCTTCCGAAATCTAAGCAAAGTGATAAGTAACAAGAGAATTTCGTTAGCAACAAAGAAAACAGCGCTGAACTGTTATAAAATAAAATTCCTCCAATATGGCAATGAATGACAATTTCATGATGATCACGAGGGGATTTAGGCAACAGTGATATAGTTCTACAGAAGGATGCTGAGAATATCATGGACGAAGCAGGAGAGTAACTGGAACGTTTTAATGAAAATCGAAACAAGATGGACATTTGTACATAGAATCAGAAAGAGACAGTTAAAATAGATAGATAGATAGATAGATAGATAGATAGATAGATAGATAGATAGATAGATAGATATTATTTACATTATTCGGACTTTTGTCCTCATCTTTGTCGCCATATTTATTACAACGTTTCGGCCGTTGTACGCTCCGGTTCAGGTGGTTGGATTCCCGAACTGAACTCTTTATTTTATTTAGTTCAGTCGACATTCCAACCACCTGAAGAAGGCCGGAGCGTACAACGGCTGAAACGTTGTAATAAATATGGCGACAAAGATGAGGACAAGAGTCCGAATAATGTAAATAATGTACATAATACCAGATCTCATCTCAGAAATATAGATAGATAGATAGATAGATAGATAGATAGATAGATAGATAGATAGGAAGAGACTGAGACGGTTGAAATTTATTGGGCACGTAATGAAGAAAAAGGGCTTGGTGAATTTGACACTCACATGGCCAGTTGAAGGCAAGCGAGACAAAAGGAAGTATATAAGCAACAAGGAAGTTTTAATGAAAACAGAAACAAAACGGATATATACTTAGAATCAGAAAGCGACAATTGAAATATCTCGGACACCTAATATAGAAAGAGGGCTTGGAGAATTTAATGCTCATAGGACCTATTGAAGGCAAGAGGAACGGAAGAGAATCATGAGTATCCTACCTAACAAGCTTATTTAAACAGATGACAGAATAGTGACCGGGGGCATAAAAAAGAGATAACTCCTACTTTTTTTAGGAAATGTTCACCCAATACAAGGCCTAAAAGCCACTCAAGGTAGAGTGTTACTGAACGAGTAAGTTGTAATAACGTAAAAGGATAAAGTAAGAAGTGCATATTATGAGGATATGTAGGATAGATAACAGTTGACATTAGGTTTGAAGAGGTTGAAATTGGAGTGATTGGGAAGTATCCTCACAGGAGTCTGTTCGGTGGGGGAGTTGTCTGAGTGAGCTTGCTAAGGGAATACGAACGCGATGAGGATGATTCGTGAGAAAACGTAAGATAAGAAGTTGGGGAGATCCATATTCATCCACGTCTTGAAGGAACCCAGCACATCGTTTTGTAAATCTTCGGCATTATTCGTCAGTATTCGGTATATTAAACTCTGAATAAATTTTCTTTATTTTCTTTATTTATTTATTTGTCATCCAAAAATTTGTCAACGCAAACAAATTTTCGACGTCCTCAGAATCAGCACTGAACGCGTTCCGTGAGTGACACTCACCAGTGAAAAGGGAGAAATGGGTTGTCGGGAGGGGGGTGCCTATGTTTTGGTGACGGCAGACGTGTGAAAATGCAACTGGTGTGTCGTGGCCCACATAGGAAATGCGATGTTGTTTAGAAATATGATCTGCTCTGGTAAAATACTATAGAGTTGAGATAGTGTAATCCTATACGGTTGAAATGATAGATAGATAGATAGATAGATAGATAGATAGATAGATAGATAGATAGGAAGGAAGGAAGGAAGGAAGGAAGGAAAAGACTGAGATAGATAGATAGATAGATAGATAGATAGATAGATAGATAGATAGATAGATAGATAGATAGATAGAAAAACTGACAAAAAGAAAGAAAAAGGCTCGTAATTTTTTTCACACTAAATAATCAGATTAATATTTTTTTTTTTACTTTTGCGGGGGCTCTTTAAGTAGCAAGTGTCACTTTTCAAAAACAGCACATCAACTCCAAAGTAAAGGATGTTTTGGCACCAACTAAATTTTCTGCCATTCATCGATTGATTAGTTAAAATATTATCGAATTTTTTTTTTAAATCTAGACTTTACAAATTTAAGTGCAGTACTAGATTGGCAGCAAGGTCTCATCATTTTACAGTTGAAATGGCTAAAATCATAAATTCTTTCCTAACAGTTTCGTCTATCACCTGTGGAACTTTCTTCTGGCTTGCCTCCCGATCAACTTTGGCCTTCAAAAATTTAAACGCAATGTCAATCGTTATCTTTTGTCTTCTTAATTCTTGTTCTTTCATTGTTCTCTCTCCTTAAAGGTTTTTCTCATATTCCCTACATTCAGTAACCCCTTACATCTTAGTGACTTTATTGCCTTACCTGATGTGAAATTTGCTGGGTATGACCTAAAACAACATCAAGCAAGTCCAATGTGTACTACCCTGGACACTCCCAAACCTGATGGAGGGTCTCACTGCTTTGTGACCCTCACTGTCTTATGAATATCCGCTTTCTTTTACATACATCTACATATACATTACAAATTAAACTAAGAACAACTGACGATGAAAGGATGAAAATTTTTTGCAGATTTTGACGGAATTCTGGGGTCTGTTTTTTGCATCCGAATCTGTAAATTTGTTTAGCTCATGCTAAGTTTGTTTGTTTGTCCAATCAACTCCTCATGGATCATCAAATGCCAAAAATTAATTTTCTAGGGTACTTATACATGTTTATGTGGACATAATTACTAGAGGTGGCGATGTGTTGTAGTTTTGTTCAAGTTATATTTTAGAAATTGTATATTATATAGTTTAATGTGCAGAGTCCTAAAAATTTAATTAATATATATATATATATATATATATATTTCTTTGCTTAGTAGATCAAAGAATATGAGAACATCTGCAAGCAAGTGAAATGGCATTTGTTTGGAACGAGGCTAGAAATATTTATAAGTTTGTCTATCATCAGAAAAAAAACAGTTATTTTTTTTATTATTTTAAGACATTTTATACATTCTTTTTATATTTAAATATTTAAGTAAATGCTCTGTTTTATAATAAACAGTATTAACAACATTTACCGGCCTGAATGTCCGAGAAATTGTCATAGAAAATATGTGTCCTCCGACAGGAATCGCACCTTTATCCTATACGGAACCGTCTTATAGCCTGACGTGCATTTACCGATTGAGCCGCAGAGGATCGTTCGATTAGCAAGGTCGATTTTACTGCTTTTAAACTACAATCTTCCATGATTCTCTCACGTACATTCATATCTGCTCAATGCGTATCCAAATGTAAACAAATGACGTCATACATTATGAAATGGACAATTATTTTAAGACATTTTTATGTTTATACATTCTTTTTTATAGATACAAATATTTAAGTAAATGCTCTGTTTATAATAAACAGTATTAAACAACATTTACCGGCCTGAATGTCCGAGAAACTGTCATAGAAAATATGCGTTTTTTATTATACTTGATGTTTTTCAGAGATTTGAATATAAGTGTTTCTTATTTAAACTAACCATTTTTAGGCTTTTTTTAGGAATCTTTAATATGTAAAGGAATACAATGATAAGAGTTGAATATTTCAAAAGAATAATGATAAAGAATACGAAATGTTTCCATTCCACTTTTTCTAACAAGCTCTCCTCCTTGATACGTCAATTGCATGAATCTAAGCGTTCTACTTGATTGGCAATTAGGTCTCATCGTTTTTCTATTGAAATAGCAAGATGCATGAATAAGTTCTATTCTATCGACTCGTTTATCCCCTCCTCTGACCTCTCGATCCCCGGTTGCCTTTCTCTCCTGAGAAAAGACCGTCAAACCCACATGCACGACTTTGGAGTTTACGTCAAAGACCATCTCCCACTGACTATAGAGCTCTCTTTCGAATATCCAGACCACTCATACTTGTGTCTCTGTCTATCGTTCCTTAATGCTGTAAGCTACCTCTTCTTTATCGCTCTCAATCTTCCCAAGACTGTGGTGTGCTCGAAAGCATTTCTGACAATATAGGCAAGGCTATCTCTCTCCATCCGTTTGCTCATATATTTGTGTTCGGTGACTTTATCACCCACCATACCAAGTGGCTTACAAACTCTATAACTGACCTTGCTGGCATACAAACCTTTAACTTTTCTATTTCTCAATCCCTCACTCAAATTGTCGACTTTCCCACACGTTTCCCCAACAACCTGGGCGGTAAGGCTTCCCGATCTCTGTTTCACCTCCATCCCCGAGTCCTGTCGCGCCTCGCAGTTCTGCCCTCTTTACAACTCTGATCATGCTGTAGTGTCTGTCAGCCTCTCCTTCTACTCCACATCCCAGCAAAGAAGCTCCTACCAACAGAATATTTTTTGTTATCAACGAGCAAATTGGAACTCGTTACGGGATTTCCTTCGTGATGTCCCCTGGGATATGGTCTTTAATCTCCCCGTTCAAGAATGCGCTTCCGAGGTCTCCTCCTGGGTAAAAGCTGGAATCAAGGCTTTCATCCCCGCAAGGAAATATAAGGTTAAATCGCGCTCATCCCCTTGGTTCTCTGCTGCTTGCCCAGCTGCCACTGCCCATAGGAATCACTTCTTCCGCCTCTACCGTAGTGACATGTCAGATAGCAACCGACGTCTTTTTGTCTCAGCCCGTAACGGGTGCAAGTGTGTCCTCACTGAAGCAAAGTCACTATTTGCCGATAGAATGAAACAACGTATTGCATCTCGCAAATTCGGCTCCAAGCTATAGGACCTAATCTGCTTTATTATTTAACTCATAGCTGGGGGAGAAACAATAGATTCATACCTTTCCCAAAGGCATTTGCGCGTAAGGAAATGTAACGAATCCGACTGGAATTCGAACTCGGCTCTCCAATTTCTCATTCAGAGACGTTAGCCGTTAAACCACGCAACGCACATCCCAGTGTTAATAATAACGATCGTTAATTACTGTAAATCGGACCAATTGTTTTTGCATAAAATTTATAGGAACAGTTTTGACCTACTAAAAATCGTTTAATCTTTGAGGTTGTCACATGTGGTATGACACACTTTATAGAAAATAAATAAAACTCTTCTGAAACGTTAAATAACTAATTTATTTAGCTAAAATATTCACCATGTTGATGAATGACTATTTTCCAACGTACCTCTAAATTTTTGATCCTATCTTTTAAAAAAATTCTCCTCCTTTGATGTGATAAACATTTTAATGCATTGATTATCTCTTCCTTATTAGAGAATATTTTATTGCATATGAGAAACTCAAAATGCTTAAATAAGTGATAATCAGTAGGAGAGATATCAAGTGAATATGGAGGATGAGGCAAAATTTCATCATTCTAGCTATGCATCTTATTGGACAGTTAATTTAAAAGTATGTGGCAGTACAGCAGAATTGGACCATCCCTATTCACATTTAGGATGTTTCTTTTTCAATTTTTCATGCATACACTCAGTTTCTCTGTAATATGAGGTTGCTCTTATTGTTTTGGCTTGAGGCAAAAATGAATAATGAATGACCCCTTTGAAAGACCACCATACAGTAACCATTAACTTTTTAGAATGCAGTGGAGATTTTGAGATATTGTTTTGTTGATTCACTTGCATCTAACCACTGGCCAAGCCTCTTACTGTTGTCAAACAGTATCCATTTCTTATCACATGCAATGATTCAATGCAAATTTTTTTCCAGTTTGTACTCATACAGTAAGATTATTCGACATTGCTTCATTGGAATTATTTTCATTGGGCTTCTGATTAACAATATATTGAAAGAAAAATTATCTGGAAAGAAAAAGAGTTAGGAATATGTGAAGATTTTTTTTTATATTTTAAGGATGTTACTTCGTTATACGACTGATTCAACAACCTACCAAAAAAGGCATCATTTTGTGTATGACAATCTAATAACTTTGTAAGAGACAGTGTGCTGTTGTCGGAGGCTTGGTAATCTTCTAGGAGAATTTCTAATCTTGTAGAACACTTCGTACTCTCGTATAAAACATGTAACTTTGTAGAAGACTTTAATATTGTAGGAGACTTTGTAATCTCGTAGAAGACTTTGTAATCTCGTAGAAAACTTTGTAATCTCGTAGAAGACATGTACGTTTGTAGAGTACTTTTGTAGGAGACTTTGTAATCTGATAGAAAACGTTTTAATCTGGTAGGAGACTTGTAACTTTGTAGGAAACGTTTAACCTAGTAAGAGGAATATTAATCTCGTAAGAGAATTTGTAATGCCATAGGAGACATATAACTTTGTAGAAGACTTAATATTGTATGAAAATTTATAATCTTTTCGGATACTTTTTAATCACGTAGGAGACTTTGTAATCTCGTAAAAGACATGTAACTTTTCAGAAGTCTTTTAAACTTTTAGGAGAATTTATAATCTTGTCGAAGGTTTTGTAAATTATCTGAAAGGAAAAAAGTCAGGAATAAGCCAAGATTTTTTTATATACTGAGGAGGTTACTTCGTTAGATGATCGGATCAACAACCAGCCCCCCCAAAAAGTATCATTTCCTGTGTGACAACCTAATATTTGTATACAAATATATTGAATTTCAAGAACAATCTTTATTGAAAGTGTTATAAACTCAAAGTGCATGTGTTTAGTTCCTATGTTGCAGTGTTCGGCAGTTTTCATGTATTTAGTTTCCATGGGAAAAAAAAACTACTACAAGATTAAAATTGCCTCAACCATAGAGCCCGACGAATAATGATAACAACTTGTGTAAATAATTAACAGATACCCCATTCTTTACTTCTTTATTTATTTCTTCTACGAATCTTATATGTGTTGTTCTTGTCCTAAGTATTATCGTTCATTATCAACCTTTGCATGATTATTCTATTCAGTAACCTTCTCTAGGTTACAACAGAATTGAAAGCCCATTGGATTACAATATAAGTTTAATATTAATATGTATTTAACAATAATATGTATGTAACATGTTAGATTCAGATGTACGTAGTTGATCATGTGAGTTCGCTGATTTAACTAAATATGAAAGATATCCTTTGATCACGACATCCATGATCAGTTTATATTGTAGTAATAGAGATATTGTGTTCTTCGCGCGGCAAATTAAAACAGAATCAATGAAAAAGAGAAGAAAAAGATAGAAAGATTTCGCCCAAATTGAAGACGGTGGTAGATTTTAAGTGTAAAGTATTTATATGATTATAATGGATTTAATATCAACTTTTGCAGGCGTCGCAGAAAAGAAAATTTGAGTGAATGAAAATTTAAAAGTCGATTAGCAAATATATATATATATATATATATATATATATATATATATATATATATATATATATATGCATACAGTGATTTCCCACCTATTCGCGTTTCAGCATTCGCGATTTCACACATTCGCGGATTTTTCTTTAGAACACATGTACTTGTTATTCGCGGAAAGCCCGAACATTCGCGTGTTTTTCTGAAGAATATTTATACAAATTATTCACTGAGAATTCTTTCGATTTGCGTATTTTTTTCAATAGAACATATTTAAAATATTCTTGTATTATTTTCCTGTTATTTTAGTGACTTAAAACATATAACAGTCCATTTTATGGTAAAAATTGGCAGAATTGTACATTTTCATTATAAAAACAAATTCAAAAACATGCTTAGCGCTTGGACTTTGTTCTTTGTTAGGGGCTGCGGCTTTAAAAGTGGCTTATGCTAAGTCTAGGGACATCATTACAGTTCTGTTTTTAGAAAATGTTTCAAACTTTATATTTTATGTCTTGTTACACATATTTTATACAGTATTTTCAATGGTTGCATCGATCAATGCGTAATTAAAAACGGTTATTTTACGTATGAAAGACAATTTACGCTAAGTGTATGCTCACCAATACTATTTTTCAAAAATGTTTTGAAAAGGGTCTGAAATGTTTCTAAAGTGTTTAAAATGAAAGTTTGAGGTATATGGGGGTTTAACAATCAAAATAGGTGCTTATAAGCACTTTTAGGAGGGGTTACAAGTATTCGCGGATTCTAACTATTTGTGGCCGGTTCTGGTCCCTAACCCCAGCGAATACGGGGGGATCACTATCTATCTATATATCTATCTATCTATATATATATATATATATATAACCTCTTCCCTATATATATAAACCTCTTCCCTATATATATATATATATATATATATATATATATATATATATATATATATAGGAAGAGGTTATAGTTGTTCCAACGAGTGAAAAGTGTGTATTTTAAAAAGAACATAAATCGTAAACGTTTTTGATTGAAATGTGGAATTTTTATTTTAATATATATTATACTTTGTTTCCCATAATTCTGCTACACGGGTTTCTGGTTTCGTGACCTTCTTCATGCAAAGAGTATATATTTCTACATATTATAAAAATGAATTTTTGTGTGGTAGTGATTCAAATGTCTTTCTTGAACTGCTGATAAGTTCATATATATATATATATATATATATATATATATATATATATATATATATATATATATATATATTGCATATACTTTTCTAGTTAATAGTTCGTTCTTTCGCGTGGTACGACGTCATAGAACTACATTATGAATTTCCGATTTGCGTCTGTTATTTTGCGACCGTTACCGTGCGCATAGCAATTTTATATGTCGGCATAACAGAATTGGTTACCGTATTTCTGTTGGAACAAGTGTTTTTCTTTTTTGGACACAGAGTGTGTAGAAAACTGTTCAAATGTTCTCTAATTCGGAGCGTTTTCGGCTATACTTTTAGCCATTATCAAAGATTGTTATATTTTTGTTTTTTAATTGGGTGTATGGGTTGTGTGCCTCTTTTTAGAGTTATAGAGAGGTTTTTAATATACACACAACTCATACACCCAATTAAAAAGCAAAAATATAATCATGCTATATAATGGTATAACCGAAAGTGCTCGGAATTACAGAAGATTTGGACACTCTGTGGCCAAAAAAGAAAACACTTCGTCGAACTCAAGAAAAATTAAATAAAAGGTTTAATCGTAGTACCTTGACTGTCGTCTTTAATGAAACATGTATAAATGAAGGATTGCTGCCTAAATACACTATATATATATATATATATATGGATGGAATTTTTCTTTTAATTACTTAATGTTAACTTCACATTGGATAAAATTCGCCCAAGACATCTAGAAATTTTGTAAATTTTCGGTTGCCTGCGTACAATAATGTAAATTCCTGAAAATTTAGTTACATTAATCTTCACGTATCTAAATGTCCAAGAAATATTCCCATAACCTGCTAAACCTTTCCTGCCTCTCATCATCAAAATGTCAGCATGATAAATATCTATCAGTATTATTTAATGCTTCATCAAGAAAAAAAAACACTTCTGAGTATAATGGATGTATTTCTTTTCCTTGTCATTCATATATATATATATATATATATATATAAGCAAGTTTGATTAAAAATAACAGACAATTTTTTATTATATTGCTCTGAGTTATTGATTATTGCGCTCGTAGCTGTGGACAAACTGTCCGGAGTTCATGTTTTGTTATTTTTCTTTAAGTGCTTTCTACTTTCGCAATCATTATTAAGAACCGATGTGGTTGTTGAAATTCTTTTGTCTAAATCCTGGTATTATTTGGGAACCTGTAAGTTTGAAATAGTCTAATGTGACGTCATGTGTAACGGCTACTGGAAACGAGGCTGGCCGCACCAAAATTAATGGGATTTATTTTATTTTATCTATTTATTCTTATATGCGCACATTAATTATATCGGTGAATTATATATATATATATATATATATATATATATATATATATATAAACAATAAAATCCCAAATCACCTCATATGGGGAATAGCAGACGAAAATATCGGTCGTCTGTCTTATAAACCCCGGTGTGGATTTTATTGTCTATTAATTATTTGCTCTGTAATAATAAATACATTGAGCTCTTTTTGTGGATCGGTTTTGATATTTTATATTACTAGGATACACTTGGATTATATACCAATGGATTTATTACCTGTAATATATATATATATATATATATGTGTGTGTGTGTGTGTGTGTGTGTGTGTGTGTGTGTGTGTGTGTGTGTGTGTGTGTGACTAATTTAAGAGATAAAAGTTAATTATTCAAAATAAAAAAGCGTATTTATTTAACTAATGGCTTTAGGGATTTGAGACAAAATTAATTCTATCAAACAAATAACGCCGGGAAATAATTAATATTTCCTACTAGTCGAGCCAAATCACAAGTGCCTTTTGTTGGAGGCCCTTGTCGGAGAGTATGACTCATACTAAACAGAACCTGGAACAGATTGGTCCTAAAAAGCACCTACTTTACCTGCCCCATCTCTCCACGCCGGCTCCTAAATTTAATAATCGCAGCCGAGCAGCAAGGTAGCCATCGATTGAAAAGTTAATGAGAAGACGACGACAACGACGGGGAATTTGACTTGCAACAAGTAATACGGGCTGCATTCTGTATTGCTTGCCTCCAGACGAGATACATAACGCCGATAGACTGCTACACGCATGCGCTTGTATAAACAACAGAAAACTCCCCACCCCCGTATATGGACGCCAGGAAAGTAAGTAGTGGTTAACATGAGAGATTTGTGAACCAATATTATATTGCAAAGAGTTTCATCCTAATTGAATGCTCTAAAATTATGCCCTTGGACTAGATTGTCCTTTGCTTGTATTTTAGTTTTAATTCCAAACTAATAGATTAAGTTTTCATATTTCCAATAAGCAAAAAACTTTGCTGTATTTCAAAAACTAATTTAAATTGACTGGAAGGAGATTTTTTTTATTTTATTTTGTCTAAAACAGTTGCTAAGCGCACTTTTTAAATGTCTTTCTTTGCAATGTAATTCTCTCTATTAAAATCTTTTCATAAAATAAAATATACTTTTCTGAAATTTTATTTGAGAAATAATAGCTGATTTAAAGTATAATTAATCTGATTTGAAACAAATATTATTTACTTTAAGTTTAAAATATTGCAGAAATGCATTTTTTAACCCAGTGGTAGTTGTTTACTTAGGCAGTTGATAGATTGATGTTTATCAAATGTTCTATGCATGCTTTAACTGAAAAAAATGATTGAAGATAACATGAGCGCTTTTTCTATATCATTTTTAAGTATCCAGTAATCTTAAAAATTTAAGAAAATATTCTCTAATCTAATGTTTATTGTATTTTAGATACTTTCTGGCTTAAAATCTGCTATAGTTATCGCTCTTATTTACTTATAATGTTATGTATAGGCGTCCGTATGTACAAAAATGGGCACGTTTATACACATACAAAAAAATTCAAAATTCCTTTTGATTGGTGTTTAATGATTTGTATTAATCTTTTCAATTTGTGATTAGTAAATATACTTTTAGGAGGCACTGTGGAATAATGGATAGCGGCTCGGATTGAGATATCGGAGAACCGAGTTCGAATTCCAGTCAAATCCATTACATTCACTTACGTGCTGATCCCCTTGGGGAAGGTATGAATCCTCTTCTTCTCCCCACCCCCAGCTATGGGCAAATAGTAGGACAGACCGGGTTCTATAGCCTTGGATGGCAACAGGTCTCCCGCAAAAAGAAATGGTAATCTATTGGGAAAAATCTGCCTCGTCAGTCATGTATCGAAAGATACATGATCGCCTAAACGTGTATGACGCATGGCACATAACTGACTGAAATATAGTTTTCACTTAATAATAATATCATCTAAAAAGTGAAATCTATACAGAAATTAAAACATTTAAAACTTAATAAATTATGCTAATTAATTTTTTTTGAATGAAAACAATTCTTGTAAAAATTCATTATTCATCAATTTTTTTCTAAGACAATAGTATCCTTAATAAATCTTATTTATAAAAGCAATTAAAAGCTTTTCTAATTAAATAATGTCATAGTTTTATTGCATTTTTTTATTTTACAATTCAGAGCAGATTTTCTGTCAATAATTTCTATTTGTTGATCAAAAACAAAATGATTTAAATTCTCTAAAGAATCCTGTTTTTAACCAAGATAAACATGAAGAGGGTAGAATTTTGTTTTCACGAAATTTCATAAAATTTAATGTGCATAACACATCTAAAAAAAAAAGTATTTTTTGCAAGATATTGTAAAAAAAAATAATTTCATTCATTTGTAAATAAGTCTTGAAAATTTGATTGAAATCCGCCAATTATTTGATTTTTCAAAAAAATACCAAATCAATAAGTTTTTTACCGCAAAAAAAGACGCTAAATTTCTCATCTTTGGTCCAACGCTGATGAAAAAAAAAAAAAAACGATTTTTAAAAATTTCAAACGTGCTAAATTGGATTAAAGCACTAATAAAATAACAGAAAATTTTTTTGGTCTTTCCGCTTAATAATAACATATACATTTTGACGATAATATTTTCTTTTTTTGAAATTTGGAACAATTTGTCTATCATAGTATGCTCTTTTTTATAGCGAATTAGTAGAGGTAACTACTCAAAAGTGATCTCCTTGGAAGAAAAAAGGAACACAGCTTCATTTCCTATCTAAAAGCCCCCTTTTTTGACTAGGATTACTATACTTTTAAATGTTAATTTCACTTTTAAAAAACAAAGATGTCTACTCAAACACGTGTACCCATTAAATATAACGTTTATTCTAATAAGAAATAATGTTGAATTAAGAAAATCCATCAACTTTTTTTAATCAGTTCACCCCAATCAAGGCAATAATGCCACTAAGACACAAGGAGCTACTTGGATTAAAAGAGAATGAAAATATTTAAGAAAAACCGGAAACTCAATCCTAAACAGGAAACAAGGGATAAACCTATACCCCTGTTTAAAAGATCGAGAAGGAATGGAAACCGGATGGTAGGAGAACCTCTGAACTCCTATTAAATTTGCTTAAAATTTTTTGTATTCAATGAAAAATTTGTAATGGAAATTGAAAATAAATGTAATGGAAGGATTGTGTTTTCATTAATTACATCCAAAATTAATAATTATTTTTTAATCATTTCAGCCTCAAGTAAGGCAATAAAGCCACTAAAATGCAAGGGTTTACTGAGAGTAAGAGAATATGAGAAGAAAAAACATTATAAAAGAAAGAGAACAATAAAAGAACAAGAATTAAGAAGACAGAAGATTGAAGAACGATTGACATTGCATTTCAATTATTGAAGATCAAAGTTGACAGAAAAGCAAGGAGCCGGAAGAGAGTTCCAAAAGAGAAAATTGAGTGAGAACAATAGAAGAGTAATCAGGAAGACAGTAGATAATGATTGACATTGCATTTCAATTTTTGAAATAATTATAAATATGTTAATGTAATATTTTCTTGCAAAAATAAAATATAACCCCAAATATGTTTGTTTTTTTATCATTTCACCCCAGGAAAGGCAATCAGCCACTAAGTCGCGAGGTACTACTTAATGTTAGAGAATATGAAAAAATATACTATTGTGCAGAGTGGACAACAAAAGAACGGAAACAAGAAGTAAGAAAACAGAGGATAACGATTGACATTGCATTTCAATTTTTGAAGATCAAAGTTGACTGGAATGCAAGAAGCCGGAAGAGAGTTCCACAAGCGAAAATTGAGAGTGAACAATAGAAGAGTAATCAGGAAGACAATAGATAACGATTGACATTGCATTTCAATTTTTGAAGATCAATGTTGACTGGAAAGCAAGAAGCCGGAATAGAGTTGCGAAAGAAGAAACTGTTAGCATAGAACTTACGGCTACATCTCACCATTTCAAGTGTAAAAGGATGAGACCTAGCCGCCAATCTAGTAATGCGCTTAAATTCATAAAGTCTAGGTACTATAGAGGAAAGTTCATCAGAACAATTACCATGAAAATATTTATAGAAAAGTCACAGGGCAACTAAGTTACGTCGGTGAGAAAGTGATTGAAGCTGAGGTGTCAGGTCAGGTCCAATAAAATTACAGATTCTTCTTTTCATTTTACCAATAATACACCTCAGAAGCGCCAGACCTGATATGGTAACAATATTCAAAGCAAAGATGAATGATAGACATAAATTCTGGTGAGTAAAATAATCTAGCAGAACAAAGCGAATCTTACATTAGTAAAATAAGGAAAAAATATAAAATCTATCAGTTCCTTGTACCTGACTCCTCCTGCCAAGGTTGAATTTTACAAGAGAGAGACAAACCCAAAATCTTGGCTGGAGCTGCCCACTTCCCGCTTTCCAGGCTTTACGCAGACTTCTTGGGCTTGGGTTATTTTCCACCCTACAGCTTCTTTCCTCACAGTCTCAAGCCTATCGCTACTTCCATAGAAAATGCTCTGACAAGCCCTATTCTTTAGTTACACCTGTTCACGGCTTTAAAGCTAAGACTCATCATGTTATGTTCACAGGATTGAATTACGCTAATGGCGAAGAAAAAAAGTTCTACTCGGACAGCTTCTTTCTAAAAACCACTACATTGTGGAATAGACTCCCAAGTGGATGCTTCACGGAACATTAAAATCGTAACCTGTTCAAGACCATGGTCAATTGTTATTTTTCCTCCATATCCTCAGAATCTTCACTTCCTACTTATTAAGTCCATACTAATTACCTTATTCAGTAACCACTCACTAAGTGGGTCTTGACCCTTGTACCGGGTAAAGATCAATAAAAAACAATGATACCGGTGAGATTCCAACGTAAATTGTAAATTAGAATATATATATATATATATATATATATATATATATATATATATATATATATATATAAAAGTGAACATAGAAGTCAACACTAGATGCAATCATCAGGCGACTCGTGGCCTGACGATTGCATCTAGCATGAAACAGACTGTCGCCTCTAAGTGTTGACTTCTATGTTCACTTTTATATTTACACATGCTCTATCTCTGATATTGAGCACTTTATCCCATAAATATAGAAAATCTTAAGACTATATTTCTTCATATATATATATATATATATATATATATATATATATATATATACAGGGGAAATTGCTCATTGAAATTGTTTTTTTACATCAAACAAATGTTTTTCTTCCCCAAACTGTAATAAAAAAAATGAACCTCGGTGTCCGAAATAAAAGTTTCAGTTCTAAATTCCCTTCCCCTAAAGAAGGCCGGAGCGTACAACGGCTGAAACGTCATGAATATGGCAATAGAGATGAGGACAAGAGTCCGAACAATGCAAATAATGTAAATAATTTTAGTTTGGGTTTAATTTATGTATTATATATTTTAAATAATAGAATGTTTTTAATTCAACAGTTTCATTTTAATTTAAAAAAATAAAATACACTAATTTATGCTGGCTTGGAAAAGAGGTATTTCTTTCAGAAAAGGAAATATTTGAGAAAAAAAAATAAAAAAAACCAGGGCACAGATATTTATTTTGGTAAGATTCAATAGCGGCATTATGAAGCATTTTAATTTCTCTTTTAATAAGTGTGGTACTCTTTAGATCGAAGTTGTGGTTGAAATCATTACTGTGTATGAGTGGTGTGTTTGATTAAGTGTTCTGTATAAAAATATTTGATAATATTTGATAATATTTGATAAATTGTTGTGTATAAAATCACTTCATGTATGAATGTTATGAACTCGAGTAGAATTC